TGATCTCTAAGGTTCCTTCCACATCCAAATAAGTGACACCCAATTAAAAGAAACTGAAAAGCTTTTGCACAAATGAAATCAATGCAATCAGGATAGGAAGGAAAGCTGTTGATTGCCCACCCCTCTCCCATCTTCCCATCAAATAGCTCCAATAAAGGTCTGAAATCCAAGATAAATAGAGAACTAACACAAATACATGAGGCCAAGTCAATAAGGCAACCTCCTCTCCAGCAGAGACCTGATGAAAAGGAGATGAGTTGCTATTGAGGCAGGACAGATTAAGGTTACACACAACTAAACAGTCTCTGATTGTGAGGATTGTTAGATGATAAAGGAGTGGGGTCAGACTCTCTTCCCATGGGTGTTTTGAAGAAGGCCATAGATTCCCCTTTGGTTTAGATGTAATCTGGTTTAGATTTGGTAATCATCTTGGAAGGCAGGAGATTGGACTAGAAGACCTTTGGAGCTCCTGTCAGTCCCAAAGGTTATATAGTTCTAGAATGAAATTCTTCAACACAAACAGCAAGAGGTGAGAGTTACCCATGCTGCTGAGCCATCTGGGCTGGGTTCCACACTTGCTTTTCTCTGAATGAAGGGAAAATGAGGATCTCATATAGTTGCCCCCTTCCTGCTACTATCATCCTAAATCTGCCTGCTCTTTGGTCTGTTCTGATTCTGACATCACAAGTGATGGTCATAAATTCCCTCCAGACAGAAGGTAGCCCAGAAGCAAGAGGACCTGCCCACTGGCAGGACAGCCCTAGCAGTTCCTAGAATCCTCAGAACTTGGGTCTTTCCTCTGCTACTTTTGGGAAGGGGACAGGAAAGGTCCAACGAACGTAACTATCTCTTTCCTCTAGTCAAAACACCTCCAGTGTCCAGCTCTGTATACAGAAGGTATTTAATCAATGTTTGTTGAATTGTATTGTCATTAAGCTGAACTTATTTTCCTAAGCTCTTTAATGTTTACCAAGTTCTTTTCTTGAAACAAGATAGAGAGAGGCAAAGGACAAACACTTTCAGCCCTTTGGGCCATTAAGCGAAAGAGGGCAGAATTCCTGGTGAGGCCTAGTGACTCCAAGGCCTAGCCCTTGCTCCTTCCTCACACTGCTGCCCCCAAAGAGCCTGAGTTCCAACATGGCTTCTCCAACCTTCAGGAAGCTTTGGAGGGTACCCAGGAGGCCTGTTGGCACAGTATGGCCTTACACACAGGCACATCTGCTGGAGTCTGAGGGTTGCTTGAAATATTATTCCACTACCAGCCCTATATCTCCCTGACTGATGTCTAAAAGTCTACCCTTAGAGAGACTTGGCAGCTAAGAATTACACTTGCTCTTTTAAAATGTGACAGCCCTCACAACTCTAGGGTAGAGGAGCATGGGAGGAACCCTAGTTACTTAGTGTGAATGAGTTTATCAGGATTCCCAGTGAGAGGTGAGACAATTCCCTCCCTGTCCTGCACAGAGCACCCCGGCCCAACACACACTTGGACACATACACACACACACACACACACACACACACACACACACACACACATACACCAGAAAGGTCAGGCAAAGAGATCCTTTGGACTTGACTACTGGTCCTGCCAGTTTGTCCTGTTAACTATTAATTAGGATTGTGACCTTGAGCTAGCAGCAACTTCATTTTACAGAGGAAGAAACTGAGGCCCACAGAGAGGCAGAGACTTGCCTAGGATCATTCAAGTGCCCGAGGTTTCCAGCTGGCTCTCTTCCATAGGGCTGTGATGAGACATTCTTGAGTTTGGGCCAGGACTGGATTTCTCCTGGAACCTCTTCACACACGTTGGGGTTAATCCACCCCTCCTCTTGGTTTCCTGCCTAGCTCTGTTATCAAGCTCAGGTAGAATCCCTGGGCCAGGGAAACTGGGGGTGGAGTAGGGTGCAGGTGACATTTAGTTTCCTTGCCTTTGCGCAGGCTGGGACTCATCCGTAGAAAGCATCCCCTCCTCATGGAATGACTTTTGTTGAGGCTGACTCAAGTCAGGTGCCATATTCTATACGGGACCTGTCTCAGTTCTGCCAGTGACTCAGACTGTCTCCCCAGAAATTGCCTCTCACCTACTTTTTATAGATTTTATATTGAATGTTCTATGAATATGCGGTTTAGCACCAACAGAACAGATGCTCCTTGAAGACAGACACCTTTGGAGGGCTTCTGTATTCACAGTGCCTAGCACAGTGTTTGACACAAAGCAAATGAGAAGACAGGAGAAGACCCAGACTTTTCATTGGAAAAGACCCTGATGTTGGGAAAGATTGAAGGCAGAAAGTAAAGGGGATGGCAGAAGATGAGATGGATAGATAGTGTCATGGAAGCAATGAGCATGAGCTTGGAGAGTCTTCAGAAGATAGTGGAGGATAGAAAGGCCTGGTGTGCTGTGATCCATGGGGTCATGAAGACTTGGGTAGGACTGAACGAATAAACAACAATAACAACAAAATGGTTGAATTCAGCTTCAATTGTTCCACCCAGTCTCCATAAAACAGAAAAACGGCAGAGCCAGGTGGGACTTTAGAGCACAGGCTGTGAGATTTGGAGGAGACCTTAGAACATAGAATGCTAGAACTGGGAAGAGTATAGACCAGAGAAAGTCAGGGTGGGAGGAACCAAAGAAGAGAGGTGGGAAGAACTGAAGGGAAACACAAAAGAGAGAACGTCAGAGCTCTGAGGAACTTCAAGACATAGAATGTAAGAACTGGAAGGAGCCTTACAAGACGAACTGACTAGGGATCGTAGGGACTTTTGATTACAGACAGAGCTGGAAGACATCTGAAGGCAAGAGAATATGGGAGAGAGGGACTTTAAAATGGAGAATAGTAGAGCTGGGAGGAATCTTGGAATATAAAGCTTCAGAGCTGGAAGGGACCTTAGAACACAATTTCAGAGCTGGAAAGGGACCTTAGGATATAGAAGGTCAGAGCTCAAAGGGACCTTATGACAAATGCTGAGATGGAAGAGTAGGTGTAGAGGAGTAAGGTGTGAGAAGACTGGAAAGGTAGGAGGGGTCTGGGGGATGAAGGGCTTGGAATATCAACAGAGCATTCTGTATTTGCTCCTGGAGGAAATGGTGAATCGCTGGAGTTTATTGAGTGGGGGGGGGGGGTTTGACATGACAGGAACTGTGCTTTGGGAAAATCATTGTTGTTTGCCCTTTGTTCTTAAAAAGGACCATGACATCTGGAAGGTGATACCACTTGCAAGTGAATTGGATTTCAGAGTAAGGGAGGGCTGTGCAAAGTCACCAGCCTCACTCTCTCCTCCAGAACCATCTGGGTCCAGTGACAAGATCCAGTGACAAGATATGAATCAAGATGACTGGAGATGGCACTAGATGCAGTAAGGAGACCTCGGCCTTTTCAAGCTAAGGTCTTTAACCTTAGTTAAACCTCAGTTTGACTGAGGCAACACCCATTTAGTGATTAAGGTTAGATTGCTGTTGTTTGTTTAAGAAAATCATGTTGGTGTTGAATAGAGGATGGATTAGAGTATGGAGAGACTTGAGACAGGCTGACTTCCCCCCCTCCCCAAGCAGGCTATTGCCAGGGGTGAGGTGATAAGGGCCTGGACCTGAGTGCTGGTAGTGTCAGAGGAGAGGAGGGAGCACATTCCAGAGAAACTGCAAAGATGAAAATGGCAGGACTTGAAAACAGGTCGGATGGGGGAGGGGGATTTTGGTGAGAGATAGTGAGGGGTCCAGGATAACTATCTAGGTTGAGAGCCTCAGGAACTGGGAGGAGGGTGGTGCCCTTTACAGTAATAGGGAAGGTAGGAGGCAGGGAAGGTTTAAGGGGAAACATATAAGGAGCTCCATTTTGGACAAATTTAGTCTAAGATATCTTGTTGTTCAGTCGAGTCTGACTCTTCCTTCTCCACCTCATTTTACAGATGAGGAAATTGAGGCAAACAGGGTCAAGTGACTTGTCCAGGATCACACAGCTAGGATGTATCTGAGGTGGGATTTAGGATTGGAACTCACAAGGAATCTTCCTGACTCCAGTCCTGGGAGCTCTATCCACTGCGCCACCTAGTGCCCCTCAAGATATCTACCGGCCATCTAATTCAAGATGTCTGAAAGGCTGTTGGAGACACAAGATTGGAGAACAGCAGAGAGGTCGGGGCAGGATTGGTAGATTTTTTTAATCATCAGCACAGAGACGGTAATGCAATCTAAGGGGGCTGACGAGCTCACCACGTAAAGTAAGTAAGAGGGAGAAGGCCAGGACCAGACAGTAGGAGATGCATATGATTACAGGGCGCTGCATGCAGGGGGCTCCAGCAAAGAAGATACAGGAGCAGAGACTGCTAGAGCCGGAAGTGACTTCAGAGGTCATGTCCCCTTATATGGAAGAGAGGACCTTGAGACCTAGGAAAGGGAAGTGACTTGTTCAAGGTCACACAGTTAGGAGCTGGCTTTGGAGGTGGAAGGAGCTTCGGAGGCTTTCTAGTCCATGGCTCTCATTTTTCGACCAAACTGAAGCCCGAGGAGGGGCAGTGACTTGGTGAAGGTCACACAGGGGAATACAGATGTAGAGCTGGAAGGGGCCTGAGAGGCCAGCTAGGCCAGCTACCACGTAGGAGCAAATGAAGGCCTAGGGAAGGGCAGTGATTGACCAACGACTCTCAGGTAGGCACGCATGGAGGCCTAGGTTTCCAGGGGAGCTGTTCGAGAGCCGCCAAGCGTCCTTCTCTACCCGCTCCACCCGCCTAGCCCAGAGTCCGCAATGCGCGGGCCCGGCGCGGGCGCCATGTGTCGGGCCGCCTGCTTTGCCACTCGCTCCCGCGGCTCGCGGGCGCGCACCCCGGCTCTTCCGGCGACTCCGCAGCCCCAGGCAGCTTCCCTCGGGCTTCGGGAGCGGCGCACGGCCCGGAGGAGGGCGTGGCTTCAGTTCATCTGCTGTCATTGGTGGCGGCGCCTTCGCTGGCGGATGCGGCTGCGGCGTGGGCGGGGCTCGTCGCAGGAGCAGAGGCGGGGCATGCGGAGGCGAATGCTCTTGCGAGTGCGGCGGAGGCGCGGGCTCCGACGACGGGGTGGAGTCAGGCCGGAGGCCGCTCTGCCCTGGGCGGAACGCGGCGTCGTTCCGCCCTGGGTGAACCGACTGCTGACAGCTAGTGCTCTGGCGGGCATGCAAGAGCAGGACGAGGTGCCCCGGCGTGCACCAGTACCAGCACCAGCGCCCTTAGGAACGCTCTGGCAGCGGAAAAGGAAATCTGAACCAATGCCGCCACCCCAGGAACCCAAGGTGGAAGCCGTGCAGGTGGCCAGCCACAATGTGGTGGCTTGGCGCAGTAAGGCCGAGTGGGAGCAGGTCATGGTTTACCTCTTCTGCTCGGACCCCGAGCTGCAGCGACATGCGCTCAACCGAGTGTCGGCTTGGAAGAGCAGGTGAGCAGCGGGAGACGCGCCCCGGGCCGATCGGCCGGCTGGCTGGCGCTAGGGAGTCAGGCAGGCAGACAGGCGGGGAGGCGGGGAGGGAGGGAGGAAGAAGGGAGCAGCTCGAAAGGGACCGCGGGGCAAGGCAGGGCCGGAGAAGGCTGGGTGGACATGATATGGCTGGGACCTTGATTTTCCCCCCCACCGGGTCGGGGCGTCTCCCCCAGACCCGAACCCCCAAAGAGTAGACAAAGGAACCCCACCGACGTCTAGGGGAGAAGGGCTCCCTAAATCTCTTATTGGTCCCTGCCCCAGGGCTCTCCCTGTTCTTTGTTAGACCTAGCCCAAGTAATAAAAGGGCTTGCCAGCATCCCCAATACGCGTTGTACCCCGCATCCTTCCAGGAGCAGCCTTCTGTGTCATAACTCCCTCTCCCCCACCTCCCCAAACGAGCTACTCTATCCTTCACCACTTTGGCCTTGCCCCCCCCATCCTCAATCCTGGCCCAGACCACCAAAATGGGGACAAAGGAGCCCCACCCACCCACAAAGATTGTAGGGGTAATGGCCCCATAAATCTCTGATTTTCCCCTGCTGGGGGGGGGGAGCCGCCCCCTTCTTTGTCCCACCCAGCCCATATTGTGAATGCGGGAATCTGCAATGCGGCAATTGTACCCCGCATGCTCCAGAAGCAACCGAATATGTCATCCTTGCCCAGATTCCCCCTCCTCCCCATCTGAGCTATTCCCCCCTCCCAACTGATCTTCCTCCTCTCTCCTCCCACCTGGGCTTTGGCTTGAACCCCCAAAGCAGAGACAAAGGAGCCCCCCCAACACCCACAAAAGAAGGGTGGGTGTGAATGTCTTCTTATCTCTCATTGGCCATTGCCTGAAGTCCCACCCCCATCTTTGTCTCACCCGGCCCATCTTATACTTGAGCTCTGCTAGCCTCCGCAATGCGGCAATGCCGCAATGCGCGCTGTACCCCGCATGCTCCAAAAGCAGCTCTATGTCATCCCTACCCAAGCCCCGCCCCCTTCCATCTGAGCTACTCCCCCCTCCCCACTGACTTTCCTCCTCCCTTCTCCCACCTGTGCCGTGCCTTGCCTCCAGACCCCAATACCCAAAGCAGAGACAAAGGAAGCCCCCCATAACAAAGGCTATGGGAGAGGTTGAAGGACTCCCTAAATCGGGGTTTGGACTCTGCCCGATGGTCTGCCTCTTTCTTTGTCACACCTGGCCCATATTATAAGTGGGCACTGCCAGCATCTGCAATACCGCAATGTGCATTGTACCCCGCATGCTCCAAAAGCAACTTTATGTCATCCCTGCCCAACCCCTCCCCCCTCCTCCATCTTAGCTACTCCCCCCTCCCACCTGGATCTTAGCATTTCCCCTAGACTGCAGTCTAAGGCTGAACCCCCAAATTGGAGACAAAGAAGCCCCCCAGCCCACAACAGGTGGGGACGGTTTGAATGGTTCCTTAAATCCCTGATTGGTCCTTGCCCGCGGGCCCGCCCCCATCTTGCTCCTATCCAACCCATAATAGAAATGGGTCCTGCCAGCATCAGCAATTCAGCAGTGGGCAATGTGCACTGCCCCACCCCCATCCTCCCTAAAGCAACCTGCGTAGTCTCTGCCCGAGTCCCCCACCCCACCATCTGAGCTGTTCCCCACCTACCCCTAGTTAGAATTAATCAGTAAATATTATGCTATCTAGAACCATAGCTGGTGGAAGGAGTCTTGGAAGCCAGCAATTCCACCTCCCTCATTTTACCCAAGAGGGGAAAAACAAGTCTAGGGAGGGGGAGGGACTTGCCCTAGGTTACATGCAGCATCCTAGCTGTAGTCTGACCCCCTCTCCTCCTCCAGTTTTACAGTTCCGGAAACTGAAGCCACAAAGAGGTAAAGTAATTGGTCACAGATCACACATAGGACTTAGAGCTGGGAGAGACCTCAAAAGTCATCGAGTCAATCAATCAATAAACATTTATTAAGCTCCTGCTCCTTGCACTGTGCTAAGCTCTAGATAGGAAGATACAGATAAGAACAAAGCCAGTCCCTCTCCGAGGGAAAGACAGTGCACCAACAGGAAGCTGAAGGCGGGTGGAGAGGGCCAGCAAAATCCCAAAGCAGTGGAGCCAGGGAGGGGGAAACTGAGGCCTGAAGTGGGTAATTGACCTGCCCAGGGTCAGTCACACAAATAACAAGAAACAAAGGATGGCATTTGAACCCACATTTCTTCCTCCAGATTTTGTGTACCATACTTCCTTTCTCTTAAGGCCAGACACTGTGCAAAGACAAAAGCAAAACAGACCCTTAACTCCAATAGCTGGGGAGGCAGCAGATTCCTATAATTATCTATAATTTACAGGGTATCCTAGAAGTCTTAATGCAGTTGTAAGCCATCTAAGCTCACAACTGCACTAAGATGTACGAACAGTAGCTCACATTTTTGTGGTTTCCAAAGCTCTTTACAAGCATCTCATTAAAGGCTGGGGATGGGGAAACTGAGGTTCAGAGGAATTGAGTGACTTTGTAAGGATCAGGCAACTAGGGAGTATCAGAGGCAGAATTTGAACCCTGACTCAGGCGCCAGCTCTGTTGCCCAGCACACCACTAACAGCTGGAAAAGCAGCTGGGGATTGTACAAAGTGGAGGTGAAGAGGGAGGGCTCTCCAGCCATGGAGAAAGCCTCTGTATAAAGCCACGTACGCAGACCTGGCTTCAAAGTCTGACCTCTGATGATTATAACAGGTGTGACCTTGGTCACTAAGCATTCCTAGGCCTTATTCTTTACACCCTCCCCCCCCAAAAAAAATGAAAAGTTGGGAAGTGGTCCTACCTGAATCCCACTTACCCATCTGGTGTGAGAAATGGTACCTTCTAATCACCTGAGTATTCAAAAAGATTTCCTAGCCCCCTAAAAAAGATTCCCCCCCCAAAAAAATAAAAGGTTGGTAAATGGTCCTATCTGAACCCGACTCATCCATCTGGTATGAGAAATGGTGCCTTCTGATCACCCAAGTATTCAGAAAAATTTCCTAGCCTAGGTGATAAGGAAAGGCAAAGATTTTAACAGCTTCCATTCTCTTGAGGGGCATGGGCATGGGGAAAACTTGGTACAGTGAAAAGAGAGTGACTCTTTTCCCTGAGGGAAAGTCCCACCTCTGACATTTACTCACTAGCTGCATAGCCCTTGGCCTGTAAGAGTCACGTCTCTGGTCCTCAGTTTCCCTCTCTGGCCTTTGAGATCCTTTCAAGTTTCAGAACTCTGATCTCAGTGGCCAAAGACACATATTAATGCCAGGTGGAGGGTACAGTAGTGCCATTGAGGTGTCATTGGCTAGGCTGATAGAATGCAATCTTGGGGCCCTTTTTCGCAGGGAGCAGCCTTCAGAGAGGTCTTTGAGGACAGGCTGAGCTAGTTGGAACCTTAGAAATGGCATGGGGTCAGCCCCCTCGATTTACAAAGCAGGAGTGCCTAGGAGTAGAATTGATAGAGAAGCCGTTAAAATGGCTACCCCGGGGACCTTGGGAGTGAATATAAAGGAAGCCAGCCTTCCCTGTGCCCATCTGCAGAGGCCCCCTCCCTTCTCCCTCTTCCACCCCTGCATTTGTTCTTTCTGCGCTAATCCCTGGGTGCAGTGAGGTTTCTAAGCAACCAAGGGTCGCTAGGCAACCAAGCATCACTGCCTTGGTCACATCTCCTCAGCTCTCTGGCTCCCCTTCTGAATAGCAGGGGCAATTACCTCTGTTCCCGTTGAAGGGGATTTAGATGTTCTTCGGCAGGGGGAGGAGGAGATCTCCTCAGCTCTCTGGCTCCCCTTCTGGAGAGCAGGGGCAATTACCTCTGTTCCCATTGAAGGGGATTTAGATGTTCCTAGGGAGGGGGAGGAGGAGATCTCCTCAGCTCTCTGGCTCCCCTTCTGGAGAGCAGGGGCAATTACCTCTGTTCTCATTGAAGGGGATTTAGCTGTTCCTGGGGAGGGGGAGGGGGCACAATGAGTTTTGTCTGTGTCATAAAAGCCCTTGGGTGGAAGGCCACTCTAATTGAGTCTTCCCCTTTCAGGTGCAGCAACAACCTCCCTCTGGCTGTGGCCTGCACAACAGATCTGGTGCTTTGCAAACTCCTGGATGGAACTTCTTCCTTGGGCACCCAGGAGCTCGTGCTCCTCTATGGGATGGCCTTGGTCAGGTAAGCCTGGGGGGGGCTTCCACAGAGGGCCTCTGGAATAGCAAGGATTGGGGAGAGGCAGGCTTACCTCGAGGCTTGGCAGCCCCAGCTGCTTCGTGCCTGCATGGCCTTGGCCAAGTCACTTCCCCTCCAATATACCACCATCCTCTCTCATTCATCTTTAGTGGCTGACAGACATGGGCAGGCCTCCCCAACAAACCCTCCCTCACTTGATTCCTCTTAAGCTGCCATTCTTTTCACTATCAAACTCCCAGAAAATCTAGCCACACCTCTCTCCTTCTTCACCCCTTTGCAGTGTGACTAGATCTTATTCCCCAAGTGAAGCTACTCTCCAAAGTGCCCGCTGATCTCTTAATTGACGGCCCCATCCTCCTCCTTCTCCTCCCTCCTAGCAGGCTCTGCCTTTTCAGGTTCCTTTACTGGAGCCTCCCCCATATCACTCCTAACTGTGGACAGCCCCCAAGGCCCTCTCAGCTCCCAGTGCAGAGGAGTCCTACATCTCTGGTCCCAGCCTGCCTCTGGGCTGCTCTCGCTCCATCTTCAGCTTCTCCAGACTAGAGCTTCCTTCTGACCTGCTGCCCTCTTCTACCCCACCCTGGTCCACACTTGCCTTTTTTGTCCAGGACACCAATCACTCAGCTTTGCAACCATTGAGCCATTCTCAACTCTTTCCTCCCTTCCCCTCCCCCCATAGTTTGACCCCTCATCCTCTCCTCCTGGGTTATTGCAGGAGCCTCATAAATGGTCTAATCCCTCCCCAGGCCATCTTCCACACAGCAGCTGGAATGATTTGACTAAATCAAAGGTCTAATCATGGCATCTTCTCTCCCACTCCCAGGTTTGTGAATCTTATCACTGAGCCCAAGCAAAAGATCATCAACATTCCTCTGAGACGCCTGGCCCACGAGGTATGTGCCATGCCATGAACCCACCACAATACTTACATCTCTCCAGGGACAGGGCTGGCGGGGGAGGGTGTCCGAGAAACCAAGAACAGGAAGGTTGGAAGGGTCACAGAGGGCTACTAATTTAACCCCCTACCTAGAGCAAGAGTCCCTTCTATAACCTTCATGTGGATAAGATCATCCAGTATCCAGTCACTTTTTGGAGCCTTCCAGAGATGGAGAGCTCACTCTCTCTAGAGTCAGGAACAGTTCTTACTGATTGGGAGTTTATCCTTATGATGAACCAAAACCTACCTCCCCATTACCTGCATTTCCCGCCCCGCTCCCCCCAATCCCACTGTTCTGGGTTCAAGAATCCAAGAGTACGTGGGAAAATTATAGATCACTCCTGGTTAACTATGCAAACGAGCCTAGTGAGGACCCAGGAGTCCTGGCTTCCAGTGTAACTTTCTCACACGCTCTGTTGTAGTGTTCTTGGCACAGTAGAAGTGAGGTTGCTTTTTCTTGGTTTCAAAGGGAAGAGGAAGGCAAGGCCCCAGGAGGTGCCATGTGCCCATCGGACAAGTTTTTCACACAGTAGTGTGTAAACAGATGGGCAGTGCCTCCTGCTGGGCCAGGGCAGGCAGCTGTTTTCAGGGAAGCTGCCCAAAATAGGGTCTTCTTGGGAGCAAGCCAAGGTTCTAGGTAAGGGAACGTGCTCTAGACCCATCTGGGGCTTTCTCCCCCTCCCCTCCATCCTCCCTATTGCTGTCCCCTCCACCACCTCTTTCCTTTCTCTCTCTCCTTCCTCTCCCTCCCTGGCCTTCTCTCTCCCATCTCTTCTTTTCTCTCCCCACCACAGATGCACATCCCAGAGTGGGTCGTGAACCTTCGCCACAATCTGACTCACAGGAATCTGCCTAGACTGAGTACCTGCCGAAGAGGTAATGTGTTCCCTGTTTGGAAGTGGGGCTGGGCTTGGGGCGAGGCGGGGGGGGCTTTAGGACAAGGGGTAGAGTAGGGTGCTCATTTCTGGAGAAGAGAAAACATTCTTTGTGGGAGTAAGGCCGAGGAGAACTTATGACTGGAATGGCCCCACGAGCCTCTCGTCCTGTCTCCCATAGGCTGCGAATTCGTCTTGGAATGGCTTCGCCGGACCTATTGGTGCCGCCAGTTGGGGAATAACTTGGGTGAGCCCTGGGATTCAGGGGTGCGTATCCGCGAGATAGAGATGGGGAAGGACGAAGATGGGGTCGTGGTGGAGGAGGTGGAGGAGGTGGAAGAGGAGGAACAGCCTCCCCAGGAGGAGCCACTTTCTGAAGAGGCTCAGAAAGAAAAGGACCTGCAAGGTATGGTGCATGGAGGGGAGGGGGCAGGCACTGGGCCAGGCCTGGCACCCCGCTGAAGTCATCAAACCAAGAACCTGTTGAGGCCCAGAGAGGGAAGGAGATTTGCCCAAGGTCACACAGCTAGTGACAGAATGAGGAGACTCCAAATCCAGAGCCTTTAGCGTGAGCTCGAGCCAGACAGTCATCTCAAACCTCTTCCTCATGTTCAACAGGAGCGAGGACCACATATAGAACCAGCCCCGTAGGTACTGGCCCACTCAGCCCCCCCAGGTAGTGAGGGAGCCCCCATGCTGCTAGAAGCAAGCCAAGGCCCTTTCTCGCCATGGCCAGGATTCTTTTCAGTGTGCTGAAACATATGTGTATACGCGCGCGCGTGTGTGTGTGTGTGTGTGTGTGTGTGTGTGTGTGTGTGTGTGTGTGTGTGTGTAAGTGTCCATCTGAGGCAGGGAGGACCACCAAGCATAGGTCTAAAACACCTGGCCAGGGGCCCCTTCCATCATCTTTCCATTTGGTGCTAATGTGTCCAGAGTAGCTCTGGACCACAAGTAGTCAGGCCTTGGGTCATTTTTCTTTCTTTAGAGAAAATCCGGAAACTGCTGGTGTCCTATGGAGAACAACAATTTAAGGTAAATAAACTTGTGTTGCTGCATGTCGCCTCCCACCGGCTTCAGGGGAGGCGCTGTCCAGCAGCCCTTGGATTGAGCCAGCGCCTGAGGAGGGAGCTAAGCAGAAGGATGGAGAAGCCCGGTGCAGTCGGACCATTGCCAACGCGTGGAAGGGCCTAAATGGTGCTGAGCCCCCCCAGCTCCCGGGGTGCTATGTATAGTTGGCTCAGGCAGGGCAGACTCTGCTCTTGTGGTCACAGGGTCGTGGGGGCTGGCCTCGGGGTGGCCGGGGAGTTGGTGTTAGTGCTGGAGGGCTATGAGTACATTGGGGACCTTTGGGGTACAGCTTCTCCCACTGACTCCTGTACACAGAGGAACACTGTCTCTTTTCTCAAAGGGAGGGGTTCTGCCTATTTTCACCTTTCCCTCACCCTTTTTGCCTACCCAGAAGGCCTAACTAAAGCAGTGGGTGATGGGCCAAACTTGGCAGCTGGCCCCCTGGCCTCAGACCAGAGCACTGGCAGTTGGGTGATGTCCAGTCCTCTGGGTACCGCATATCTCGAACACTTACTATGTGGTTTCTCCTTCCATGGTGGGGAGTGCTCAGACTGCCTTTGAACTCTGGCCCATTGTCCAGGGCTCACCCACCATCTAGGGTTCACCAACTGGGAGATCCCTGAGCCGGGCCCTCTCTGCCACCAGGTGCTCCGGCGCTCAAGGCAGCTGCCCAAGGCCATGAAATTGTGGACCAAATCCACCCGTGAGGTAGAACGACTGGTGGGCCGCCTGAAGAAGCTATCCAAGGACAACCGGTATGGGGGGGCATCAGGGAGCAAGAGGCAGGGACTTGAGTGCAAATTCTGGCTGCTCTGGCTCTTTCTACCTGTTGGACCTTCCCCTCCCTGGGCCTGTTTCCTCATCAGTAAATTGAAGGGGTTAAAGCCTTGACACTTAATAGCAGAGTGATCTTGGGCAAATGGTTTGATCTCTCTGAGGCTCAGTTTCTTCCTTTGTAACTGGGGGTAAGGAAACTCACTCCAGAGGCCGGTGGCTGCCACCCTTCCCCCTTGGGCCCAGGGACCCTGCCAGCTGTAGGAGTTGGACGCAGAGTGGAGAACAGGATCAAGAAGAATCACAGGGTCCAAGAAGGGCCCTCCCTAGGCTGTCAAGTCCATTGCCCTCGTTTTACAGAGGGGGAAACTGAGGCTTGGGAGTTGAGTAGGACAGGGGGCGACACAACTGAGTAGGACAGGAGGAATCAAGAAGCTGTGTAGCCTAGGGCTGCTGCCTCCCCCTCTCTGGGCCATGCAGGTTGTCTCTGTTCTCCTTCAAGATTTGTGTGAATGTCACCCCTCTCGGGGCATACTCGTGTCAGTCCGTCCCCTTGCCCACTGAGTCCCTCCTTTTGGGCTGCCCCCTCCCAGAGATTGAGGCTGGCCCCCTTCTAACCGAGCCAACAGGGTTGCAAAGAACCCCTCAGCCTGCCTCCTCACCCCCGAGGTTAGCAAGCCTGGCATTTTTTCCTGTTGCAGAAATTACATGGTGGACACCCTGCTTGACGAAGGCTTCCTTATCCCTACTATTGAGCAGCTGGAAGCTCTGAAGATCCAACCAACAGGTGCGGGCCTGTGAGCGCCCCCTCCTGGGCTGACATGGCTAGGCTCCTTGAGCATGCATTGCCCTCCCCCACCTCCCCAGCCCTGGTCAGTGCCTACTGCCTGGGCACCCCCGTTTTCCCTCGCCCCCACACACGGTTCTTCACAGGATCTAATTGGAAGGGAATTCTCTTTTTCTACCAAGGAGGCTGCTGAGGGCTGGAGAAGGGAGCTGCCTTGGCCCGGGGGCCATGGTGATGGGCTTTGCTGGGCCCAGTGGGCCTTGTGCTCTGGGTGCTGAGCTGCCCTCCGTTTCTCTTGTTCCTGCCTTGCATCCCTTAGAAGTCCTGAATCTGGTGAGCCTTCTGATGCCGAGGTCCTTCTCGAACTTCTGGCAGCCCCTCATTAAGGGCCTGCAGACCCACCCATTCATCCAGGACCTGCTGGAGAAGATGCTCAGAACCCTACCGGATTGTGGGGACACAGGGATCCGTCCAGCCTATCTCATCAGTTGGATCAACGAGCTTGTGGTGGTCTATACCCCTGCTGGTGAGGGCCAGAGGCTGGCCCTGGCTGCCTCTTCTCTACTGTCTCCCCCTTTGCCTACCTCCCCTTTGTGCCAGCTGCCCTGCTTTCTGAGCAGATGCCATGAGGCGTGGCATGGAGAACATCTCCCCTCTGACCCCTGAACTCAGCCTCCCCTAGAGAGGACAGGCAGTATCTCCCTCCTCCCAACCCAACATGGTTGAATTCCCTTAAATACACCTTTACTGAGGTTTGCACTGGGGAAGTTGCTGAGCTTAGCCAGGAGCCCTCAGGAAGGAAGGGCACAGTCTAAGGAGGAATGAGACCTAGATATAAGTAAGGCTAAAATGAAGGTTAAATGGTAAATGGAGAAGCAGGCAGATGTGGGGGGGGCAGCCTTTGCCCTGCCTTGGCTATGTGGTGTTGAGTAAGCCTCTCTGAGCTTATCCTTCTGATGAAAGTATGTCCCAGAGTACATTAAGAGGAAAGTGCTAAGTGCCATGCAAGATCGAGATGGGAAGGTCATTGGTGACTGGGGGGTCCCCCTCTTAGCCTCAAGCTGTTTTTCTCACTCAGGGCTATTACCCCAGAGAGAAAGGCTTTGAGGCTAAGGATTCTGGGGTTTGTCCTGCAAGCCTGAGGCGGGGGGGCTCCTTGGACAGCAGGGTGGGGTGGGCACCAGGATCTCTCTCTGTCCTCAGGGCCCTGCCAGAAGCGCCTCACCTCTAGCCAGAGGTCAGTCCGTAAGAGCTGGAAGTTGGGACCTCGCAAATTCTCCTTGAACTGGTCCCAGTTGCTTGATGTTTGCCTGGATGCCACCTGCTGGGCCAGTCCCCACCTTCTCCAACTGTAAGCCCCAAATGGGATCAGCTGCAGTTGGCTCGGGTTGGAGATTGGGGGGCTATGGCCCATATCTTAGCCCTCAGTTTGCCCTCCCAGGGACAGAGACTTACCCAAGTAGGAAGTCCCCCTTCCCCCCCCATTCTACCTTTTCTAGGGGAACTGAAGCCCCAAGAGAGACAGTGACTTGTCCAAACTCAAACAGACTTAAGATTTAGGGCTGTGATTTTCCCTGACTGAAAGGGGTTTTTCCTTCATTTAAAAAAAATGTTCATTGGAGGAGCCAGAGACACAATGACACTGAGCCCAGTGACAGCTGGAAAGGTCTGAGAGAAGCAGGAAGTGAAGGCTTGGCCCCCGAGCAGTCCCAGGGCCACGCTTCCGAGCCTGCTCTGCTCTCTTTTGCCATAGAGGGCTGGGGCGGGGAGGCCACGGGATGGCCACTTCCTGAGCATCTTTGTGTCCCCCCCCCCAACCTCTACCCAGGATCCTGAAGGCCATGGAGCCCCAGCTACCCCTGGACTCGCAGGAGAAGCTCATGTGTCTCTGCACCATCTACACCCAGGGCGGGAATCCTGTCACTAGCGGGAAGCCTGTGGAAGGGACTAGCTCCCTGCGCAGGCCCATCTACACCCTGGAGAGCCTTCAGTGGCAGGTGAAACGGGCTCTCATGATGGAGAAGAAGAAGAATCGCCAGCCCGGGGAAGAGGGGGAAGAGGAGGAAGAGGAGGAGGAGGAGGAGGAGGAGGAGGAGGAGGAGACCGAGTCTGGAGATTCGTCTGAACCAGAAGTGATGGAGGTGGATCCAGAACCAGTGAAGGAGGTGGTACTGAAAGAGACTCCGGAGATGCTGGCTAAAAAGCAGGCCGGCTTGGAGGGCTCCCCCTGGCAGCTGTGCTTAGGTAAGGGGCCCAGGCCTGGTGCCTGTGATGGCTCACCTGCACAGGCCGCACCCCACCCCCGGAGGGCTGGGCTTGAGCTGGGCCCCTCTGGGTGAGGGAACACCTCTGTCCGTGCCAGAAGCAGGATTCGAACCCAGGTCTTCTGACTACAAAACCAGTGCTTTTTGCAACATACTATTGTGACCCGAGTTAAACCCGGGAGACCCAGAGGAGGATTGGCAGCTAATAGCCCGGCCCCCAGATACGATAGAGAAGCACCCGGAAGGCTGAAGGAGGCGATGTCACTCACCCTCTCCCTCCCCCATCCCAGAGGCACAGCTGCAGCCACACTCATGCTCCTGGGCCCCGGTCACTGGCACGCTTGGGGCCCAGAAAGTGCTGGGTCAGACACTAGAGGGGTGCTGTTCTCAGCTCCCCAGGCACTTGTTTCTGGGTGGGCCCTCAGGGCTGCTGGGGTGGGGGGTGCGGAGCAGGGCTGGGGAAGGGGCTTCCGGGGGGGGCGGAGGTTGATGGCCAGCCAGCCAGTGGTAGTTGCTGGCCTCGAGAGAAAGACCAGGTGAGACCTTCCTGAGCCTGAGATGAGCCAGAAAGACACAGAGGGGAGAGGGGGCAGGAAATGACTCCATGAGACTGGGTAGCCTTTCCCAACTTTGCTCTGGCCAAGCTTCTTCCCCTGGCTGGGCCTCATGTTTCTCAATCTGTAAAATGGAGGGATTGACTTCCAAGCTCCTTCCTAGCACAAGCTCTTCTAATCCCTCTCATCTAGATGACATCAACTGGAGCGAATTGCCCCTGGGTAAGATGCCAGGCCAGACTGACGACCCTGATGAGCTGATGGTGGAGAACTACACCCTGATATCTGTCATGGACCAGCCTGTGATCCGTGGGCTGGATGATGGACCGCATTCATCCACATTTGGGTGAGTATCTCTGCCCAGGCCCACTTCCTCTTGTGGTAGGCACAGCCAGCTAGCTGCCCTGATAGCCAGGGAGCCATCCTCCTCCCCTAGGAAAAATCACATGGGAAACTGAGCCTCCCCTGCCCCCAGGCCCCCACCCCACACCCCTACACCACCAAGGCCTCAAGATGCCTCGGGCATCCAGGAGCTGGGGACACAGCCTGGCCATCTGGGGAGGAAGAGGAGCTAAAGTCAGGCCGGGCCTTGCTGGGGCCCACCTGGATGGTAGCTTCTTGCTACCCCTCCCCCTTGGTATGGGCCCTTCCAGCTCCAAAGCTTAGGATTTTATTTTTTTATGTTCTGTTGGCATTTTTTGTCGAGATACCACAGACATTTCTCAGTACATCCTTCCTCCTCCCCACGACACCCCCCTCCCCATCTCCACTGAAGAAAGAAAAACAGTTAAGTAAGACAAATTGACCTAGCAGCTGAGTCCGCCAGCATATGCCACATTCCTTACCCATAGCCCCCCACCTCTACTGAGAAGAGGGAAGTGTGTTTTGTTATTTGTTCTCTTTGACCAAGATTGTTCATGACAGGCGGTCAGAGCTTGGCCACCTGGTAGCACTTTGAATGACCTGGTTGGCGGCAGAGTCATTGTGGCATAAGAGAGCTGGAAGCCCTGAGTTCAAGTCTCACCGCATGACACATCCTGGCTGTGAGCAAGTCACTTAACCTCTCCGTAGCTCTGTCAGAGGTTAAGTTGCAGAGTAGACACCAACTTGCTTTGGTGGAGGGAGCTTCCCAGGTCTAATCTGAGGCCCTAGTGCTGTTTTGTTTATTGTTTTGATCATCTCCCCACTCGGGCTTTCTTCTCTGGGCATCAGCTCAGATAAGTCTTCCCAGAGTCCTCTGCTATTTGCCATCTCTTAGGACCCAGCCCTGGGTCACGTGGCTGGTAGCAGACTGGGCAGCCAGGCTCTGCCTGAAGGCCTCCAATGAGGTGCAAGCTAGCCAGCCCACTGGTTCCTGAGACATCTCAGGCCACTTTGGGACGGCTTTCATTGGGTTGGGTCCGGCCCTCACTCCACCTCACCCTAAGCTTGAAGCATCTGTTCTCTCCCCAGTTCCCTGGACCTGAGAATCCCCAACATGGAAGGCCCACTGTGGACCCAGAATGAGCTACATAGCCTCAAAGGCAACATCCAGTTGTTCTAACCTCAGGGTGGGAAGGGTGCCCCTCCCCCTCTGTGCAGACACTCCCCCTCCCCCACAAGCACCGGAAACTAAGGTGCCCACCTCAGTTGACTTTGATTAGTGTCGGTTGTATTTTTTTTTGGAGAAAAAAAAAAAATAAACCCTACTTTCCTTGCTCTGCAACACAGGCCTCCTGCTGGCCTGTGTTCCTCCCAGAGCTGGCCTGGGTTGGGGGCCTGAGAAGGACCCCCACCCCAGGAATCCCCTCTGCAGCAGCGCCCCTGATAAGTAGTCATCCCACTTCGACTTTAGGCTTCCCCTGCTGGGGCCCATGCCAGGCCCGGAGCCCAATTCTGCCTCTGCTGCTTGGCCAGTGCTCCTGGTCCTACCCTCTGGGGCCGAGCAGACAGCTCGTCAGCATCTTGAGCATGTTCCCTGGAACCTTCTCCTTCCATTAAGGAAGACTGTGGGCCACCCCTCGTGTCTCCAGGCCTTTGCCGCCTTGGACCCCACTAGTTGATGCTGATGCCCCAGCAGGGCATTGCCAGTGGAGCCGGCTTCCATCTCTTCTTCCTTTTCTCTGCTTCCCAGAGAAGGGCCCACTCTTGCCCACTGTGCTGTCCAGCGCCAGCAAAGCAGAAGGGATCCCTTACTTACTTACTTAATGCTGTGTTGTGACTTAGTGCTTTGTCCTGTGGACCCTTGGACCCACCTCCTCAGGAACAGTGCTGCAAAGGGGATTCCTCGGCCTCTCCCCAAATGCTTTCCCCAGGACCTTGTAGGGTCTCCTGCTTCTGTCCCCAAGTTTAGATTCCTAAGTTAGAACCTAACCTGTACACCTCACTAGCTATCCCTAAGGCTTGACTGCTACTCCCCCCCTCCCCAGTGCCATTTTACCAGTAGATACCCTTCCTTTAGAGCCCCAAGGCATGGCATGCAGCTGGGGAGAAAAGTACACCCCTGTTCTCATTCATGCTTCTGACCTGGTGAGAACAGGTCGGTGGATGAGGTGCCCCTGGCAGGAGTTTTCTCTTATCGTTGGAACTTATCATTGGGGCTCCTCAGATTCTCTCCTTTGTTCGCTTCCATTGAATAAAACTTAAATGTGACTGTGTGCTTGCAAGTGTCTGGTTACTGGGGGGTGGGGAACAATTGTTTGCCCAGGTTTCTGGGGTGGGGGCTGTGAGCTAAGAGAAGTGAGGAGAACTGAGGAAATCTTGTGTCAGATTCACCAGACTCAGAAAAAGTAACACTGGGCTCTTAAGCCTCCTTCTCGCGGCTCTGATACTTGTGTGTTCAGGGCACCTTCCCACCTCTGACTTTGTGTGCTGAAGTCTCTCCCAGCCGTGGCATTCTGCCTTCACTGTTCTTTTGTTTTTTTTTTGGTGAGTATGAGGCAAGATTCCCAGCTAAAGTTGGAAATGCTTTTGGAGACTTGAGGGTTGAAAAGGTTTGAAATAGTTGATGTACTGAATTTTTTAGGGAGGTGTAGAAGGAATGCCTTGCTGCAGTGAGGGCCCAGTTGAGATGATTTAACAGATTTGTGGATGACCCAGTCAACACAGTTTTGTGATTTTCTCAGCAGCATGGGAATAAATGCAGAGCCGGCAGATGGTGGGAGTAATCCAAGTTTGGGTTTTGGCAAGACATCAGAGGTGGGACAAGAAACACCCCTTTCCACCATGCCGGTTCTCCAGTCAGAGGACGGAGAGGAGAAACGCACTTCCGTCGGCAACCAGTTTCCCGACCCTGGGGAATGGGGAGAAAACACCATTTCATCAACCCAGGTGTCCTGCCTCCCAGTCGAAGAGGATCCAGAAGATCCCGATGTCATCATTGAGTGCCACATTCCTCCTCCTCCTAGGGTGGAGGGCCAATCTATCCGCGTTCCAGTGATTGTGAACCCCCGGAAATCGTTCAAGCGTGCTCACTATCCGCTGTGTGCTCCCACATTCGTTTTCCCTCCAGTCCAATCTCGCTCCTCTGATGACTCACTCTAAAGCTGCCCAGCTTTAGAGAGCCCACTGTGCTCTCTGCAATGCCTGTTTGCTAGGTGGCAAACTTGCTTTTGTCGATTGTTTCCTTTTGCGCTCTTTCCATTTCCTGCCTCCCTCCCAACAACATAGCCTCCCTGGCACTAGATGCACTTTCATTCCCCCAATTCACTGGTCGAGGCGGGGGAGTTGGGATACTCCCTGCTCCCCATGGCCGCTTCTGGACTCATTTCTCTCCTTCCATCGCTCAGTAACTTCCCCTCTGAATTTCATCCCAATCAAAGTTCTGGTAGCTGTTGCCTCCTGACCTCCAGGCTACTGTCCTTCATTCATGGATGAGTTCAGGGCCTGGCTCCCAGTCTTTCTCCCTTCCCCGACTCCTGTCCTCATACTCGGGGACTTCAGCATACATGGAGATGCTCCCCCAAACACCCTAATCTCCCAGTTCCTCACCTTGCTTATTTCCCATGGACTGCTACTCCACCCCAACTCAGCTACACACACAGAGATGGCCATACCCTTGTTCTTGCCATCAGCCACAAATGCACCACTTCCATGACCATAAGCTCTGAAATTCCCTTATTGGATCACTATCTATTGTCATTTCACCTCTACCTCTGTTTTGTAACCCCGCCCATCCTGTTCTTCATTCATACCATGATCTTTGATCTCTCAACCCCTCAGTTCTTCCCTAAGCCATCACCCCTGTGCTCACTATACGTCTCCTTTTCCCATCCCGAGCCTTTGGTGAACCACTTCAACTCTACACTGCCCTCTTAAACCCTGAGTCCCTTGCCCCCTTATGGAACCAATCTCGCCCCCACCAAGCCTCAGCCTTGAATCACTCCCACCATCTGCTGCCTTCACTCCTATAAACGTGCCGCTGAACAAAGGTGGAGAAAACTGCTGACTGGGTCCACTACAAATTTGTTACGTGACCTCAATTGGGCCCTCGCCACTACAAGGCAATCCCCTCACACCTCCCTGATGGATTCACTGTCCCACTCTTCCACAGCGGCCCTTCCAAATCTCCTCCCACCCCTGACCTCCTATGGCTCCCCTTTCCCTCCCCCTCTCAGCTGAGAGCCTTGCCTCATATTTTACTGGAAAAATTGAGGCCATTTGCAGTGAGCTCCCTCTTCCTTCCTCCTTATCTGCTATCACTCAGATGCCTTCTGCCACTATCTTCTATTTCACTCACGTCTCACTCATGAGGTGGCCCTAATCTTTGCCAAAGCAAAGCCTTCTACGTGCCCAAGTGACCCCATTCTATCCCATCTCCTCGAACATCCTCACTCTTCCTTATCTTCAGTATCCCCGTCCACTGGCTCCTTCCCTACTACCTACAAACATGCCCATGTGTCCTTCATCCTCAAAAAAAAAAAAAAAACCCTCCCTTGATCCATCCAGCCCTGTTAGCGCTCATCCCACACCTCTCCTCCCTTTTGTGGCCAAACTTCCCAAGAAGGCTGTCTACAATAGGTGCCTCCACTTCCTTCCCTCTCACTTTCTTCTTAACTCTTTACAGTCTGGCTTCTGACCTCATCACTCAACCAAAACTGCTCTCTCCAAAGTTACCAGTGATCTCTTAACTGCCCAATCCAATGGCCTTTTCTCAATCCTCATTCTTCTTGCCCTCTCCGAAGTCTTAGACACTGTTGATCACCCTTTTCTCTTTGATATTCTCTCCTCTCCGGGTTTTCAGGATACTACCCTGTCCTGGGTCTCATCCTACCTATACGACCATTCCTTCTGTCTCTTTTGCTGGATCTTCATCCAGGTTACTTACTTCTCCTCACTGTGGGTGTCCCCTAAAGCTCTGTCCTGGGCCCTCTTCTCCCGTTGTACAATTTTGCTGTAGGTGATCTTCTACCAGCTCCCATGGATTCAGTTAGCATCTCTATGCTGATGATTCTCAAATCCCCTTATCCCAGCTTTAACCCCTGCTGACCTCCAGTCTCCCATCTCCACTTGCCTATTGGGCATCTGGAACTAGATTTCCCATGGACATCTTAAATTCAACATGTCCAAAACTGACCTCAGTATCTTCTCCCTGCCCAAATCCCGCCCCCCCGCCCTTCCTAAGTTCCCTGTTACTGTTGAGGGCACCACCATCCTCCCCAGTCACAGCCCCAGTGTCATCCTCCAGAACCTCACTCTCACTCCTCCATTCCCGACCTGTTGTCATGGCCTCTCTTTGTCATATCTCCTGTATAGCCCCACTCCTCCCTATTAGCCTCTGACACTGCCACCCCCCCACCCCACCCCCCGTAAAGGCCCGTATCACCTCGCACCTGGACTTTTGCAGTAGCTTGCTGGTTGATCTTGCCCCTGTGTCCCCCTGCTCCAGGCCATCCTCAGCTGTCAAAGTGATTTTCCTAAAGCGTAGGTCTGGTCCCTTATGAGCTGTCAAAGTGATTTTCTTGAAGTGTAAGTCTGACCATGTCACCCCCTCCCTACTCAAACTCCTGGGGTTCCCTATCACTTCCAGGATCAGATATCAAATCCTCTGTTTGGTGTTAAAAACCCTTTACAACCTGCCTGCCCCTCCCAAATCCCCCCAAGATTCAACACGAAACCCCCCCACCCCCCCCCCCCCAGAAGCCATTCCCAATCTCCCTTAATTCGGGTACCTCCCCCTCTGTTGACTATCTCCTATTTCTCTTGTATATAGCTTGTTTGTACGTAGTTGTATGTCGTCTTTATAGATTGTGAGCTCCTTGAGGGCAGGGTCTGCCTTTTACCCTTCTTTGTATCCTTAATGCTTAGCACAGTATTTAGCACATAGTGGGCGCTTAATAAATGTGTATTGACTGGCAGACAAGGGGGCAAGGGATTTGATTGCAAAGTCGAACCGGTTCACTAATGGCTCAAGATGGGAAAGGAGGAAAGTGTAGCCAGTACCTGGGGAAGGTCTGAAAGGGAATGATAAAGAGACTGTAATCAGGTAAAGGAATTTCCAAGCTCCTGAACATGGAAATGGGTGATGGTAAGATCAAAGGTATGCCTGTTTCTGTGGGTAGCTGAGGTGGAGGCTGTGAGAAGTGAGCAAGCTGAGGAAGTGGGAGCTTGAGCTATTTGAGGGAGCATCTGTATGTATGTTAGGGTCCCCTAGTATGAGAGTCAGGGAGGAGAGAAAGGCTGGAAGCCAAGCCATGAAGTCACACAGGAAGGAATCAAGAGTGGCCTGGAAATGGGTAGGTAACGGCTACCTGAATCTTGACCGGGTGAGAAATAGGGATTGACGTCCAGTTGGATCTGCATCAGTGGATTCTCCACACCAACGAAATCGCAGGTTCAGCCCCCCCTCCCCCCCCCAAAAAAACCCAACAACCAAAAACCATAGAAAGATAAGATGCAATGAGAAGAGAGGAATCGGGATAGATATCAGTAGGCAGCTAAAGAACATGTGATTGAGACTGACGACCGGTGTGGCCTTGGGCATGTCACAGGCAGCTTAGTGTAATAGAGATGGCTGCGGGACCTAGAGTCAGAAATACTTAGGTTCAAATCCTCCCTTACATATTTACTACCTATATGAGCCTGGTCCAATGACTTATCTTCCCCAGACCTCAGCTTCCTCATATATGAGAGCAGAGGATTGGACTGAATGACCCCTGAGGACCCTTCCATCTGGAGACCTGGGATCCCATGTACCCTGCTCTTGGGTACTTCCTTTGTACTCTGACCATCTTCTCATGAACTGCCTTGATCTCCATCCCCGCTAGAGACCCTTCCTTCCTAAGGCTCTCTCTTCTAGCTCTCATCCTGTTTCACCTGGCTTCATTTATTAATTCACTTCTCCTTCCTGGGCTTCAGTTTCCCCCTCTCAAAAATGAAGAAGGTTAAACTTAATGACCTTTCAGGTCACGTCCAGCTCTAGACCTAGGATCCTATAGATGACCTCGGGCCAGTCTTTCCCTCTCCTACCTCGACCTCAGTTTCTTCCTCTTTAAAATGAGGGGGTCAGACTAGCTGGCTTTTGAGTACTTTTCTATATCTAAAGCAATCCTCTGGAGTCAGTTTGTGAATTCTAAAATGTTAAAAGAAGGGTGAGCTCCTACTGAGTGCCCACTAGGTGCACCCCCCAAGTACCCGGCTACACTATGGGGGCTC